CCCGCGCTGTCTCCCGCAGGGAAGCTGCGTTACGCCAACAACAGCAACTACAAGAACGACGTCATGATCCGGAAAGAGGTGAGGGAGCGGGGCCGCGCGGGAGCTGCGGCAGCGCTGGGCTGTGTTCTCATGTCGGGGTGTCGTTCGTAGGCGTACGTGCACAAGAGCGTGATGGAGGAGCTGAAGAGGATAATCGACGACAGTGAAATCACCAAAGAAGATGATGCTCTGTGGCCTCCTCCTGACAGGGTTGGTCGGCAGGTCGGTGTACAGTGTTTCTTCTAATTCTCGTTCTAATCTTTATGTTATGAAGCATCACTGAACTTTTCCTTCAAATCAATGTTGTCTGTACCCAAGAGGGAAACAAATACTATTTTAAAACTTTTGCAGTGCCTAAATGGCAATTTAGTTGTCAGAGTTAATGATTCATAGACCTGCTGCATTCAGTGCCTTTGAATAGCCATCATCTCGGTACTTAAATATTTCTGTACCTTATATTAGAGAGCAGTAGTTTGACTTCCTATGTTTTATTTTTTAGGAGCTTGAAATAGTAATTGGTGATGAGCACATCTCCTTTACCACGTCAAAAATCGGTTCACTCATTGATGTAAATCAATCCAAGTATGTACTTTGCTTTTTTCTGTTGCTGTTGTCTTTAAGTAGCAATCTATATTAGAACTGGCTGATTAGTAGGTACTTGTATTATATAGTTTCAAAACACAAACCAGTTCCTGAGGGCACAAGTGCTCCGTGTTCCAGCATAATGTACCAAAAGCTTTTAGACCGCGGCATTACGCACTATTCTTTCAGACTCCCCAAGCAGCTGACGTTCCTGTGGGAACCGCTGTTGGACGTATACAGAGTCTGAGTTGTCATTGGCCTGTCCACACCAGTGTCTCCAGGAGAACCAAGACTTCTGTATTTCACCTAAGCTGAAAAGACTGGATATTGTGTTTTTTAAATCCAAAGTGATGTTACTATTTGCATTCATGATAAAAACACACATTCTGTCAAGACATAAAACTTGCAAACTTGGCTGCAGAATGTTTTATCAGTCCATGCAGGATGAAACAAATCTGTTTTGTGTCTGAAAAGTCTCCTCATGGGCTTTTTTTTTTTTTTCCCAATAGGTTAGTTCTATAAACTGCTCTCTTACAGCATCAGTCTAACTTTTTTGTATTCTTTCCTCCTGTTATGCACTGCAGGGATCCAGAAGGCTTGAGAGTGTTCTACTACCTGGTCCAGGACCTTAAGTGTCTAGTCTTCAGTCTTATTGGACTACACTTCAAGATTAAGCCAATTTAAATCAAGCAAACTGAAGTTTGTATTGCTGTGTCTCTACGGGGTGGGAGGGGGGGATGCTGTTTCAATTCCTCACTAATTCTGGCCTGAAGCTTTTATGTATGTTAGAATTTTTTTTTACAAACTGTCAGTGACTGTCTTAATAAAACTATGAGATCTGTATTTTTTAATTTATAAGTTCTGGTGACTTCCTAACACTACTTTTATTATGGTACATTCAGGGTATGTTACTTATGTCACACAGAGCTGTATTGCACTTCTCTATATGTGCAGCAGTAGAAAATGGAATTAAGTCTGGCTCTGTGAAATGAAACTTTTGCCAGCTGTCAAGATAAACTTTTATTACTAGCCTGAGTTGGATATTCTGTTGGCCAGCCCAAATATCCAAAACAACTAAAGCCCTGCCTCTGCACATGATCACCGGTTACAACAAAGGCGCGTGTTAACGTCAGAACAGCCTGCTGCTGCGATGACCTACCGGAGACAACAGGCCACCCAGGAGCCATCCAGGATCTTCACCAGCACTCCCATCCAGCTTTAGAAAAACTGAAATTAAAAGCAGTATAGAATGTATTTAGATAAATTCTAGACAAGCAGAGCTTTTGTGCAGGGCAACAAAGCTGATGAAGGGTCTGGAGCACAGGTCTTACGAGGAGCGGCTGAGGGAGCTGGGGGTGTTTAGTCTGGAGGAGGCTGAGAGGAGACCTCATCACTCTACAACTGCCTGAAAGGAGGTTGCAGTAAGGTGGGTGCTGGCCTCTTCTCTAAAGTAACAACTGATAGCACAAGAGGAAATGGCCTCAAATTCCACCAGGGGAGGTTTAGGCTGGAGATTAGTCACTGAGAGTGCTCAGGCATTGGAACAGGCTGCCCAGGGAGGTGCTCAAGAAACGTGTAGATGTGGTGCTTAGGGACATGGTTTAGTGAGTTGGGTGGTGTTGGGTTGACGGTTGGACGTGATGATCCTTGAGGTCTTTTCCAACCTTAATGATTCTATGAAGTGAGTAAGGGACCCAGAGGACCAAATGTTTATGACTTTAACTGGTAATTTTTGCAGAGCACCCCAGGGGGCTCTGAAGGTGTTCCCCTCGACAGCTCTGCCAAACCCTGCCCTTGCTTTCTCTAGCACCTCTTCCTGTTTTTCCTAAGAGAGCAGCC